ACTTGACAAAGACTTGATAAGAATAGAAAATTTGGGGCCAATATTAATTCATAGGTAAAGATTTGAAAATGCCAAACAAAATATTAACAAATCAAATATAGTTATTAAAAAAAGAAAGATTTAGTCTAGAATAACAAATTTGGTTTCTGTTAGAAAAGCAACAGATATAATTTACCCAAATAACAGATTAAAAGAGAAAATTTATCTTATCGATGTTAATAAATGCAAATGAACAGAAAACTTTTAATAGAATCAGCACTCCTTCAGGTTAAAAGAAATTCACAAACTCTCAGCAAAACAGATTCAGAAATAACATAAGTGTATTTGTTAAAGTGCATAGTGTATTTGTATTGTGTTAATAAACATGATAAAATGTATTTACATTAGATAAATTGATCTAACAATAGACAGGCAGATAAAATCTCAAAATGAAAACTTAAATTCCTTTTGTGAGAATCATAAAATGCCAGAAGTAGCCATTATTACCAACTATTCAAAGTTACACTGCAGTTCTTAGCAATTATAATAATAGGAGAAAACTAAAACTAAAATTATAGGTCTAGAATAGAAAAATACATTTTTAAAATCACTGTTATTACTAGCAAATATGAGTGTCTACATTTTGAAAATCCAAAATAAACTATTGGTAAATGTTGTGAATTAATCGAAAAGCTTAGAACATTTTCTAAATTCATATCACTGTTAAGAGTTATTAACATTTCTATATTACAATTACAAACAATGAGGAATTTCAATATAATCATTATGTGAACAAAATCAATATAATATTAGTTTACTAAGATTAATACTAAACATAATCTAACAACAAAATTACAAAGCCATCCTTAAATATAATAAAGTAGTAGGAAATAAATATAATAATGTACCATAGAATAGACTATTCTATATTGGAAAATATCAATAATCCCCTAATTCATCCATAGGCTAAACACAATTCAAAAATTCCCACTTTTTTGTGCATATCTTCATATGTTAATGTAAAATTTAAAACTGAATACAAAATTTTAAGGAAGAATACAATGTAAGAATGACAACAAAAAGAAGAGCAAGAATGTAGCTCTTTTTTGGTGAGCTATACCAGCTATTAATAGCTGTAATAAAGATATAGTACATTAGCTATTGTGGCATTAGCACAGGGATTTTTACTCACAGAACATGATTGAGAACCCAGAAAGAGAACACACAAATATGGGAACTTAATTTATAATAGAGTCAATAGTTAAGAGCAATGGAAGGAAAGACAAATTTCTTAATAAATGTTGCTAATAATTGGTTAAGTGAGTAAAAACTAAATGAATATTGGATCCCTACCTCACATTATATAAAAATGAACACTAGGTGGATTTAAGACCCAAAAGTAAAATGTAAAATTATCAAGTTTGTTTGTTTGTTTATTTATTTATTTATTTAGAGACAGGGTTTCCAGCCCAGGCTGGAGAGCTCACTGCAGCCTCAAATTCCAGGCTCAGGTGATCCTCCTGCCTCAGCCTTACATGTAGCTGAGACCACAGGCACATGTCACCACACCTGGAAGTATATATATATATTTTTAATTGTAGAGGTGAGGTCTCACTATGTTCCCCAGGCTGCTCTCAAACACCTGGACTCAAGCAATCCTCCCTCCGCTGCCTCCCAGTGTGCTGGGATTACAGGTGTGAGCCACTGTGCCCAGCCAAAATTATCAAATTTTTAAAAGACAATGTAGAACATCAGTATGACCTATCTTTTACAAATGATTGCTGAATTTGGCTATCTCAAAATTGAAAACTATTCATTAAACCATACATAAAGAGATTTTTTAAAATAGTCTACAAAATGTAGGATAAGTTCTTGTCACTAAATATAACCACCAGAGGATATAATTTAAAATAAATCAAGAACACTGTGTGGAGCAAATAATTCAAAAGATGGAAACAGAAATGAACAGGACCTTTACCAAAAAGGAAGAACAAATGGCCCAAAAGCATAAAAAAGATATCACCCACATTTTAATGTGTTTGCATTAATAAAATGCAAATCTAAGAAACTGAAAGACTATTTCCTATCACCAAATTTGGGGAAAAAGTCAGACAATTTCAAATATTCACAAGGATGTACAGCAATGAGAATTCTATCCATTACTGATTGAAATGAAATTGGTGTATCAATTTTGGCAGCTAGTCATGACCTAATAAAGTTCAACTGTGCATTCTCTAGACATACAAATCTACTATTAAATAGGTACCTTAATAAAATATTGTCTCTACCCCAGAACCATGCACAAGAATACTTATAGCAGCATTATACACAACAACTAAAACTATTCAAAGGCCCACCAAGAGGACAATGTTACAGAAAATTTAACAACAGTAAAAATGAACCAACATTTCATGCATTGACCTAGATAAATCTCAAAAATATTTTTGAATGAAAGAAGAAAGTCATACAGTAAAATTAAATTTTTAGATAAAGGCCAAACACTGGCAAAACTTACCAGTATTTGATTCAGGATAAATACACTGGCAGTAAAAACTACAGAGAAAAATAATAGAGTAAACACAAAATTAAAGTCTTGGAGGGGACACTATGGCACAAATGATCCTTTTTCTTGTCCTATATATGAAATACACAGATGTTTATTTGATTTTGACTCTGTACCTGTGTGTGTACACACATGTATGTTTTAATACACTTTTATTTATGATATATTGCATTGTATAAAGATAATAAATTTTAGTGTATAAATTTATCATATATCCTCCAGTGAAAAAAAAATTCTACTATTTAAAAACTTTTTAATTACACAAAGAATTTGTACTTAAAAACTTGTGATATTACCAATTTCTTTTGTAGATCAGTTTTCCCTTGGTCCAAGCAAAGATGAAGATAGAAAAGACAAGTTTATTCAGGAGGTGGAAAGGATGGTATGGAGCATATATAAATGTGAAGCACTGGATTTTGTATCCAAAACTCATTGGTACAAGCAAAGGATAGGCATACCGATTCATGTTAAAGTAACTTAGATGGATTAATAATTACAGTTATCATTAGTTGAGTTTCCAATATGTCCAAATAATTGGACAATTACTGTGGGTATATTATCTTTAATCCTTAAATAAATTCTGAATATCAGAAACAGAAATTGATTCACCACAGCGCCTATATGGAAATGCTAGGATTTGAACCTAGGTGTGTCTTTCTCCTGTTGTGTCCTTGCCATTACTCCATATTGTCCAAATATTATTATTTAATAGTGGAGTATAATGGACCATGATAAGACCTGGTTCGTAATCCAGAGCTGCAAATTATTAGCTGCTTGAACTTGGAAAAAATTTAATAAATTCATAGGAACTCAATTTTATTTAATTTGGGATACCTATCAGAGTTATTCTGAGATTTAAATAAAATACATATGTAAAGCACTTAGTAGAAAACATGCATTCAATAAATTTGGGCAATTTTATTATTATTATTAACTTGCAGAAGATTCAATTGGTAAGATTATGAAAACATTCCAAAAAACTTCAGCATCCTGGGGTCATAAGGAGAACCAAGTAGTTGGATTAATACAGGGTTGATCAAGCAAATAGAGGAAAAAGATAAAAGTACTAGAAAAGTGAGGATGCTGGTAAGGAACTCACTTTCATGACCATTCATGGGGTCACTGCCTAAGGTGGAAAGATGATAGAATCTGGAAAAAGTTGATTCTCTGAAAACAGGGAACATCTTTGGAATAAGCCGCTTTAATAAAGTTGAGGATAGGGCGTGGGGCAGGCCTTTTTTTGAAGAAAAGGAATGGAAGAAAATAAAAAAAGACTGTAATTAAGTCAGCCATACCTGATACAGAGCTATGAACATTTCACAGCCCAGAACAATTTTGTTCCTAACTCTGGTTGAGTAAGAGGACCTCACACCACGGCTAGTCATAATTCGGCTGCTGATTTGACCTTGAAGGCAGCGTCTCATGGCTGCTGAGATGTCTTTACCAAACTGTAGCTGCTCTATTTCTGTGACATCCTCACTGAGAAAATAACTTACTTGGCTGAACAAAAGAATATGCATTTCCTATCATGAGTTACTCACTTTCACTGGATTTCTACTTATATACCCTTCTGAATTTCTGTTCACAACAACATAATCTTTAAGTCCTTCTAGAAAGACTTATCTTTTGTTTGTTTGTTTGTTTGTTTGTTTGAGACGGAGTCTTGCTCTGTCGCCCAGGATGGAGTGAAGTGGTATGATCTCAGCTCCACCTCCTGGGCCATTCTCCTGCCTCGGTCTCCCGCATAGCTAGGACTACAGGTGCCCACCACCAGGCCTGGCTAATTTTTTGTATTTTTAGTAGAGATGGGGTTTTACCATGTTAGCAGGATGGTCTCGATCTCCTGACCTTGTGATCTGCCCGCCTTGGCCTCCCAAAGTGGAAAGATTTATTCTTTCCTGCTACTTTGTCCTTTAACTCTAGCACAAGTCTAGAACTCTGCTACAAATAACAGACCTACTTGATTCCATTTAACTGCCTGATTGCTTTTCCAACTATTGCCAACCTTAGAAACCCATCTGCTTGACCTGCTGGCTTGCTGTATGTCCTGCCAGTGTCTAGAAATGTTGGTAGAAATTAAATACTTCGCATTGCCAGTTAGATACACTTCAGCTCTAAGGAGTGAATCTTGCTCAAGATACATATCTACCAGGTCAAGTCTCGTTGATAAATTCCAGGATACTCCTAGAAATTAATAACAAGCAGTTGGGAATATACGGTACTATATATTTATTAAATTTTAATGACTCTTACTGCAGCTAATATTAAAAAGACTATTCATTATTTGTTTTCTCTCTGAAATTTGAAGTCACTTAGGTTCTGTCTAGTATCACCTCCAATATCCCCATGAAACATACTTTACTGTGTGCAGAAGAAATGCTAATTAGAGATCCTTTACGTGACAAATGAGACACTGCTGCGAGTGAAGTAGCACTTTGGCGTACACTGAACTTCATACCTGAGCGCATAGCCTCTTTCTGAATGCTTTCATAGTCATGCCAGTCCTTTCTTCTCAAACCATCTGTCCATGAATAGAATTGCCCATCTCCCAGGCCCAGTGGAAATGTCTGTGGAAAAGGAAAGTATTCAAGCATAAAAAGGAGGTATTTCCTTTTGCATGGTAGGTAAACACAGCCGGGCACATAATAGGCAATCAAAGAATATCTGTTAAATAAGTGAATCCTCTGTGTATAGTGAAAAGAAAGCTATCGCTGGTAACCAGATTTATACACATTTTAAATCTTTCTTTTTAACCTTTAAAATGAGAGCACACCTCTCCCACAACAACTACCATTCCCTATTTTATTTCATCCAGAGACACTACTATTTAGTGTGTCACCTGTAAGCATAAATGCCTAGCTGTTTTTATTTGCCCAAAGTGTAAATATTGATAATGCTACCAATTTTGGTGTTGCATTGAATTAATTTTGTTTGGGATTGGTACAGTTTTATTTATTTTGATCAAACATATCTGAACGGCTTTGTAGTAACATTAGCAACCATTCATTGAATGCTCACTATGTGCCAGGTTCTATGTTAAATACTCTGTGTATAGAAGTTTGTTTAATCCTTATGATAGCTTCGGGTTGTAAATCCCCATTTTCCTGCTGAGTAAACTGAGGATCAAATAACTAAAATAACTTGAGGTAAACCACAGTGGCAGAGCCAGGACTTGGACCAGTTCTGTTAAGACCAAAACTGTGCTCTTAAAAACTATTAAATACTGTCTCTCATCTAGATTTCTGGAAACATAGTGCATGTTTACACTTATAGTTAAAATTATCACCCATTCATCAACTATAATCACAAAATACAGTTCATGCTTCTCCAAAGTCCAATATGTTATCATGTCAATGTGAAAATTATTTCTGTGTACATTGCTGAAGCTACTTCTTTTTTGTGGTGTTTATTTCTGATAATAAGAAACAATAATCATTTTGAATAAAATTTTATCTTCACAATCTTGTAGTCAAGATAATGTAAAATAAGTGTTTTCAAATTTACATACTATTTTTTCTTTTGTTCTTTTTTGGAAATAAGTAATACATCAACTGAATGAAGAAAATAAAATTCTAGAAAGCAAAAAGAAAAAGTCAATTTAGCCAAAAAATGAATAATTTCAGTGAGGTAATTTTATTCTAACAGCCTTTTCAAGATACAAAATGTCTTATTTCTTAGTTTTAGATAATATAGCCATTATGCTTTTGAAAAATTATCTACCTTTAGCCTATCTTCATAGTTTATAAAAGATATACTTGTTTTGAAAGGATAAAAATGGGGCATAATATTCTTTCCTTAAAAAAGGTAGTTAAAATCAGAGAAAATATTTTCCCAATCAGGTGACTATAATCTACATATTTCAAAGAATGTGTTGCTCATAATATTGGTGAGCTCAGAAAAAAAAAGGGACAAATATACAAAGATTATGATGAATTTATATAAAATATTAGGAATGATGATAATTTTTTAAAGGAAGATGAAACAAAAGTTATGGAAAAGTAAATAGAAAACGACATAGTAAAAGTAAAAGAAAATGGAAAAGTACAGGTTTGGCAATATATAGCAAACATTTTAAAAAGTCAAGCATTTTTTGAATTGATCATCTTATAATTAGAAATTTTAGTACTCAGTTATGCATAGAAAGTATTAAAGAATCAAATGAATACGAAATGCATAACCCATGTTTTGTCTCAGCCATACATTTACACTGCATGAAACATGGAAGTATTCTTGTGTAAACTCCAGTGTTTGAGCTCTCTCTGGGTACCAGGGACACTCTATTTTCCTTCTTTTGGTATATGTAAGATAGCAAATTCTTAATAAGTAGTAATATAATGCAGATTGAACAAAAGTTAATTGAACACAAAAGTTAACATTTACTCTCTCCAGAAGTCAAATGAAAACGACAATAAAGCATCAGATGCATCAGGAAAGAAGATATTAGAACTCACATAAAGTTTTTGTAAATAGCTGGGAACTACTGGGAAGGAAGTATTTTTTATGACACTGAATTTTCAAAATATGTACAAACTGGGGACATTTTATATATCCGATTGTCAGATTAAAGGTGAAAAGATAAAGATTGACCATTTTCAATAAGGGGCAGTTAGACTCTTCTGGGTTCTCTCTTCAACTCAAACAAGGGGGTGAATTCTGAGGGCCATCCACTGTACTCCCACCCATAGAGGAACATGAATGGTATATCCTCAGGCCACTAGAAACAGTTGAATATAAGGTTGTCAAACTGCAGTGAAAATCATGGTTCCATGTTAGCCTATGTATCAAACATTGTTAATGAAGGTATCTTCCTTTACTAGACCTCCAGAAAGCTGCCAGTCCACAGCTGACATCCTTACATAAGAGATGGAGGAATTTCTACTTGGAGAATTGAAATCAACTGGAAGAGACACAGTTACTGGTTCCTAGGTCCACCCCCAGTAACCATGTGGGAAATAGCTTAATTAGCAAGCCCTTCTGTATACAGAGAACTTCATGTCACTATTTTCACGACTTCACTCATGAGTATGAATAGGCAGCAAAGGATTTCCAGGGATTTCGGAGAGCCTTTAACATATAATTAAGAGGCCAAAAAGAAACAAAAAGCATACCGAACTTGAAGAAAACAGAGGCAATATAAGGTACAGATAAAAACTTCAAAAATTCTAAATTTAATTTTCTCAAAGAACTTTAAGAAAAGTTCCTTCAGAGATACAGAAATTTAAAAAAGAAGCATTTAGAGAATCAGAGAGAGTTCCTGAAATGTATAAATGTGATATCAGGGAGAGAAAAATTAAGAGACAGTTTGGAAAACGAAGGTCAAAGGAACCCTACTGAGAAACAGAAAAACAAACAAACAAACAAAATGAGAGACAGAGGGAAAAAATACAACATTGCAAAGAGGTGGCAAAATGGTAGAAAGTTCAGAGATCCTCCAGTCCCACTGTATAAGGGAATGGAGAGAAGCTCCAGAAAGGATGCCTCTGTGGGGGAACACACACACACACACACACAACTTCTTTCCTTTAAAAAAAACACTTGAAATGAGAGTTACAGTTCTTCCAAAGAGATTAGAATTATTAATGATATATGTTAAAAACTAAGCAAATGAAAAGTGTGCCAATTGATAAGGCTATACAAAACAAAAACAATGTATAAAAAAGAAAGCCTAATCATAGCACACTGTTTGATTCAGATATGAATAATCTAACCGGAATATTGGCTTAAGTAACATAACTATACTGGAGGTTGAGGGAAAGACTGGAATAAGACAGTTAAATAGATATTTTCTTTAATGGGAAAGCAGTAGATAAAACCAAAATAGGAAAAATAGAGAACAGTAATATACACATTATCTATAAATATGGAGTCATATGACAGAATGAAAACAAAAGATTGACATAGTTGCCCCTGGGTATCAGAAATTGCAAGCAGGGAAGGTGGGCAAGAGGATTGCTGGTTACCACCATAGTTTTCATAGTATGATGAGATTTAAAAAATTATTTGCAAGTATTATTTTATGTAAAACATAAATCTCAAATAAAAGTTGTTAGACATTCTCAGCCACTATTAGTGCTCTAGCAAGGTGTGTTAGTACCAACAGAACACTTTATAATGGTAGGGGAATCAGGCTGAATCAGACCATCCGAAACTGCTTTAATAAAGGGTATCTGAGGGATTTGCTACACTAATATCTTTTTTATCGGTATCAATGCTACCCATGGACCAGCAGCATCAGCATTACCTGGGAACTAGTTTTTTTTTTTTTTAATTATTTTTATTTTCATTTATTTATTTATTTATTTTTGAGACAGAGTCTCACCCTGTTGCCCAAGCTGAAGTGGAGTGGGGCAGTCCTGACTCACTGCAACCTCCACTTCCTCGGCTCAAGCAATTCTCATGCCTCAGCCATCTGAGTAAACTGGGATTACAGGCGTGAGCCATCGCACCCGGCCATCCTAGGAACTTATTAGAAATAATTCCTTTTTCCCAACTCAGGTCTAGTAAATCAGAAACTAACAGAGAGACAGAAATCTGTATGTTAATAAATTCACCAGGTGATTCTGAGGCTTTCTATGGGTTGAGAACCTCTAATCCGTATGAATTGGAATGTGACACAATAGTCACCTTTAAAAAAAAAAAAAAAAAAAAGTCAAATTCATTAACATATAATGTACCACAATCTACTGAAGAATCTTTTTCATATTGAGGACTAATGACCAATATAAAGACTAGGTATGCTTGCATACCTAATAAATACATCTAAATCAATCTCAGTGCATTTGTATATAATTACATTGGTTTTGAAAGCTTAACCATCCAGTAGATGGTGCATAAGTATTCTGACCTTTCCTTTTACATGAGCAATCTCCAGTGCCCAGACCCATTTGCTTCTCTTTTGGATTGTACCATGTGTCCTCTGTTTGATTACAATAGTACAGATCCATTATCTATGACCTTGTAAAATTAATATATAAACAGTATTGTACCTTCTTGCGGCATATATTTCAGACTCATAATTAGGTTGGCCATTTATTTGTGAGCACTATTCTGGTTTTTCACCTTGAGGACTTTTTATTCATTGTGATATTGCTACAAATAATTAACTTGAAAAAATATCAGGGACAGAGGAGACAGAATCCATTAAGTAGAAACCACATGTAATAATGAGGGCTGGGATCCCAGAGTCCATTGAAACTAACATCCTTTTAGATAAGTCAAAAGAAACTATTTCCAAGGATAAAACATTACTCAAGAGCAATGTATTTACCAGAGGAAACAAATTAAAACACCCTTTGGAGTTAGGGATGTGACATAAGCACCTTTTGGGGATAGAAATGTGATACACAGTCTTCAAAGGGATATGAAAACCAGGGTGTACTACTCTAGGGAGTGATGGGCTCTGGCGATGCCTGCTACTGGTATAAACTTTTAGTAATCTTCAAGCACCTCCCAAGGGCTGTTGGTCTGAAAATCCCTGGTGAATCAAAAAACTTTGTTTCTTTATCTCTAAATTAGAGCAAACTTATTTGTCATAACTACAAATGCGATGACAATAAAAGTACACATT